TAAAATTATTTTTAATCTGATTTAACTTTTACGTACNTTTTAATTTTCTGTATATATACTTTTTATTTAATTTAATTTTTAAAAATTCATTGCTAAAAGGCCCACAGCATAACGTTAAGATAATTGACATAGTTGACAATTGTCTTATGAAGGACTTTTGTTTTTCGAAGGACGATGGTGAGTTGAAAGACAGTTGTCAGAATTTCCTTCCAAATTTACAATTTCTGACCACGACGAAACAAGCTTCAAGTAAATTCAACAAATTTAAAAAATGTGTCCGCCATATTGAATCCAATATATTGAATTTTTGAATTCTGAGTTTTGTTTTCGCAATCAGCGGCCACAAAAAATCGTGAGTAAAAGGGTTGAAGCTAATCCGATCGATTTTCAGTATATCGTCCGCCATTTTGAACTTTTAAAATCTAATGTCAGATCCTTAATCAACGACCCCAAAAACAAATATCGCTCGTCATATTAAATCCGCCATTTTGAATTTTTCCAATCTTACACCAAACCCGTAATCAGCAACCCAAAAAACCACCGAGTGACAAGCCAATCAGATAAGATTTTGAATTTTTGCCAGTTTTGAATCCTTCCTGGCCCATAGTGCGCTGCCCTAAACCGCCGACTTTCCTCAACAACTTGTGTTTTCAATTTGTTGCTCTATAGCCTCTGCATAGTTTTGCGTATTCTGCGACAAAATGTCCGCTAGTCATTTCGTGCTTGGTAAATATGATTTCCAGCTGTGTGTGCGTATATGTGTGTGTGATTGCCTGCCGGCAGGCACGTGATTAATGTGCGACACAAGTGATTGTGCTACATATTTACAAACATACAACAAATAACGAAAGAGAGAAAGTAGCTGAAAAAGTTACGGTGGAAATGCAGAAGTGCAAATATTTAGCAAAAGAAAATTTACAAGTGCTGGCTGGCTTGCTAGCTTGCAGGCTTTTGGGGTCGTCAACGTCCCCACCGTGATGTCTTAATTAGCTTTGCTTTTTCGTGAATTGGCTTTTTCTGCTTTCATAGCTCAACAATAATATGCCAGCTCAGCAGGCTGGCTGTTATTTTTCAGATTCTTTTCTTTTTTCACGTATTTCTTTTTTATTTGTTTTTGCCTTCTTGCTATCGTTTTATTAATTTTTTGTCATTCTCATGCCCCCCCCGGTTGTCTTATTTGCATTCTCGGCCATTTTTGCTAATTTCCTCAGTGTTTGCTTGTTTGTTGCACTGTCTGTCTGTTACTTGTTTTCTGTTTATTTTTCGGTAAATTTTTTCTTTTTTTTTTGGCTCTGTATATTTCTTGTGAATCTTTAACCGCAGCCAACATTGGCTTGCCTCATTAACACTGTTTACGTCCTATACGTACATATATCTACATACTTACATATGTATGTATTTGTTTATTTTCCTCCAGTTTTTTTCTTTTACGAAAATTAAGTATCCGTAAATAATTTGCAACCACTGTCGAATTGACTCAAGGATATTTGCAATTACACGTGTTTGCTTTTTATAGTGAAAATGTAAATAAATCCATTTGTAAGATATGTATATGTATGTATATGATGCTTTGAAGATATCATCCTTTGATTTAGAGGCTGTGTTTTTTTAGGATTGCTGTGAATTATTTTAACTTTTTACTGATACAACTCCTGGGCGGACATTTTTCTGATACACTGCAGTGGTCCTTCAATCGTAAAGAATCATGTACATGTATATATGGATGTATGTACATATGTACATAAGTGGTACGTATGTATTGGGCTCCTCCTCCTCCTCATTACTTCCTAAAAAGATATCCTTGAATTGAAAGGTTGACTACTAATCGAATTAGTTAGGAAAAATTGCTTAAAAAATCTAGACAATGCTAAATCATATTCTTGGATAACAAAGTGGCCGCTGTGGTGTAGCAGTGGCTAGCAGTGCGCGCTTCTGCTCCGCAGAGCCTGAGTTCAAGCCCTGGTTAAAGCAACATCGCAAAAAAATATGCAAGAAAGGTTTTTTCTTAACAGCGGTCGCCTCTCGGCAGGCAATTATTATTATTATTATTATGATTATTATAAAAAGTTTGGTCAAACTTCAAAAGTTATTAGTAGCCAGAATTCGTCGCATTCGACATAAAAATCGCCATCCAAAAGGTTGGTCTCGGCTATTCGTCAAAAAGCACCGTATAAACATCACTCATTGTGCGTAAATTTTTGAATCGAAACTGAGTTCATTTGTTGAATCAGCCACCGCATTTACCTAATTTGGCTCATTATGAGTTCTCTCTCTTCCCAAAACTAAAAATGATTTACACGTTTGTGTTTACACGGATGTGGCCCCTACAGTTGGCTTGTGTTGCTGCAGAGTTTCGATATGCAAAAGAAGAAAGTGAGGTGTTGATTTCTTTGACCTATTAGGAAACACTTGGGTTTTGTTGTGGAAGGCTTGGTAAGGTAGAGATGATTGTACTAAACGATTTGGAGTTTCATTTTCCGATTTCGCTTCCCAATTCTTTGAGGAATGCCGCTCTTTATCGGTTATATGTGGGCGGTTCTTTTACAAGTCGTAAAGATTTCATACAAAAAATTGCTTTTTAAATGACACCAAGCCTATTTTTCTTCGGCATTTCCTTGGGAAAGTCAGTCGACAAATTTATCGGGAATTCATTAAAAGAATTTATTTTCAGAGTTATGAAGGTTTAAAGTTGGGATGATTTACGACAATTTACCGAACCTTGCCATATTTAAAATTCAACATCTTTCATTCTAGAAATTGTATCGTACCCATTTTTGTCAATTTTGAAGGTTGAAATATTTGCAAGATAATTGCATACAATTATTATTTTAATTTGTAGATAGGTGTCTCCATAAAAATGTAAACCGAAAATTCAAGTAAATGAGTTCAAACGGCTTTATAACTTTAAATTTCGTATTTCGAGGACGAAAAAAGGTTATGAAGACGCGAGACAGTGGAGAAAATAACTGAAAAAAAATTAAAATAAAAAATTAAATTATATATGTATTCATAGTAAAAATATTGTACGGGGAAAAAATCTGTCAGGTCCGATATGTAACGTCCGTTACCACATTTTAATTCAAAATTAAACCAACAACGAATTGCATCTGATTAAAAATGAATTGGCTGTAATGCTCCGTAATTTGCCTTTATCTAAAGAATGTTTAAGAAAGGAAAACCTCACAGGATTCGCACAGTTTTGCTAATTTTTAGATGTACTCTGAAACCACTTCTGTTTTTGTCACGTCTGTTATGACCTCCTTTTCGTAGATTTTCTCGACACCAGTGTTCCAAGTGCGACTAATTTTTTTGTCAACCAAAGAACGGTACGCAATGGCAGTTTTTATTTTTTTTATAAGTGATCTCCGTTTTCGTATGCTTTATTTAACTCTAAAGATGTTTGAATGTTACACCTGACATCATGAAAACACAATTTTTTTTTTAAGATTTATTACGTTACCGCCCCCAAAACGGAAAAACGCATTCCAGAGAAAACGACCCAAACCTCCTGGGTACCACTTCTTCGAAAGATTAGACAGCTTACGAGAAACCTTTTTTGGGTATAAGTTATGCCACATAACATTGGGCCTATGCAGGCTCCTAGTGAAGTCGTATCAAAGCTGCCCATATAACCAAACCTGCCATGTAAAATATTATTTAATGAGGGTTGCCACCCGCCCCAAAAGCTAAATAAAATTTTAATTGCAAGTTCAACGAATTTGGCAAACTAACGAGATCTGGGTGAGCTTAAGAGAGAAAACTTGCCAACCGAAAAAGATCTTAGGTTTTCTTTTTAAAATCTTTTTAAAGAGGGTAGCCGCCTGTTGAAAAAATTTAATTCGATTAATAAAAAAAATGTCAGATTCAATTAAATTGTTAAGTTAAATGGAAAACTAATTTTAGTATGCGTGCCAAACGAAATATGTATAAGAAAGCCTTATCTGGAAAATATTGTTAAAGCGGGTTGCCATCTGTTTGAAACTCTAATTCTAAGTATGGATGCCAAATAAAGGAAAGCTTTAATTCGAACATATTTGTGAGGATGGTTGCCACTTGTTTTAAACGGTTAAATTAAATTGAATTGTCAAGTTTAAAGCCAGCCAAAATGGTTTAGCAAAGTTTTTGTTTGCAAAATATATTTTGGAGAAATTGCCACCTGTTTGATATTAATAACAAACAAAAAAGTTTGAAGAATGCTTTATTTTGAAAACATTTTTTAACAAGGTTGCCACCTGTTTTAAAGTCAAATCCAACTTACTGAAATATTGCACTATAACGGAAGTCAAACAGAGATGTTTAAGAAAGCTTAATTTCGAAAATATTTTTTATAAGGTTGCCAGCTGTTTAAACGTTGAAGTAAATTAATTTATTAAATTTATTATTTATTATTATTCCTAAAATAATTGTGAAGAGGGTTGCCACCTTTTTAAAAGTTAAATTCAGTGAGTTAAATGAAATATTGTAACATAGATGTCAACCGAAACACGGTTAATAGAGCTTGCTCCAAAAATATTTTCAAGAGGGTTGCCTTTTTTTAAAAGTGAAATTCAATTTAATTTATTACTTAAATAAAATGTTGAATTCAGGGGCCGAACGAAAACGAGAAAAGGTTTATCTCGAAAATATTTCGGAAGAGAATTGCCACCTGTTCAAAAATCAAATTCAGAATAAGTTAACTTTTTCAATCCCAATATCTTTCGTCTTTACAATGTACGAGTAAGTATGTATTTCGGCATGTACTATACAATTATCATACGGTATGCATGAAAGTAATTAATTATGCATCAACAGTTTTTTTTTTTTTTATTGAACTCTGCCTTTTTTATTAACGTTGGAAGAAATGTATCTACCCAACATTCTAACAAATAATAAAAAAAAATTAATTAAAAAAATTAAATTTTCTTTAAATTTCTTATAGGTAACCAGTTTATGCAAAAATTCTCAACTTTAATTTTAAATTTACATTTTGTTATTACTCTTGTCTTTTCCGCTCCACATAGCTGACTACTTGAGCGTGCCGCCTGTGCAGAGTTTACAGCCGCGCGCTGCCACCACAGGACATGATTTTATGCTGCCACTGCAACCTAAACTGCTAGCTGCCTTAGGTAAGTTAATATTCAACCACAATTTTATATCGCTTTTGAAACCTGTGTAACGCCGCTCGCGTATTTTCATATTCATTCACCAACATTTGCACTTTTCACTATTTCGCAGAACACAAAGACCATCATTCTATACAGTTGGCGCCACAACACTTGCCTGGCGCCGATGGCAATCACAACGGTGTTCAATCACATCACTCCCCAACGCCCTACCACATTACTGGCGCCCATTATTGTGGTGGCAGCAGCGCAGACAACATCAGTGGCAGTCACGCGGCTAGTCGGTCAGCGTTAAATGTGCCGCCCACTATCAGCGTGGCCTCGGCGCAAATGCCACCTGGCGTACGCACACCTAACCTCAATATACGTGCTGCGCAAATTTTGGCCGCACAGCAAATGCGTGAAGCAGCAGCCGCCGCCGCTGGTCATCATGGGAGCGCGCACCACGCCGGCAGCTGTAATATAACGATTGCGGTCAACGATGGTAGCTGCAGTGGTGCAGCGCTGGACATGGAGAAACCGTACATGGAAAACCAACAACATCAACAAACACAATGCTCACCACAATGTGCGCAAAGCCCAAGGCAACAGCAGCAGCAACAACAACAGCAGACACAACATCAGCATCAGCACCAGCGCCAGCAACCACACCATCGCCCACCGCCAAAAGTGACGCTGCTCGACGATGGCTGCAGCAGTGATTATGCGAATGCGACTGATGAGGGGGAGAATGACTACGAAAGTCGTAATGGCAGTGTTAATGAGTATACAAATGGTGATGGAGATGGTGATGATGGCAGCGACTGCGGCGGGAACGGCAGCGGCAGCGGCAGCGGCGGTGGTTGTGGTGGTATTTACGGCACCGATTTGCGCTGATTGCGGGACATCGGTTGGAAATTTCCATTCTGAGTGGATGTGAATTTCGAGTGCGCTGAAGTGAAGTGGACCAAAAACAAAAACAAAAAAAAAAAAAACAAAATAAAGAAGATCAACACTTGACTGTACATATAGTATTTTGTGTAAATGAATGGTACGACGATGAGCGCTGTGTGTGCGTGTGTGTGTGCGTGCAAGCTAAAGAGTTTCAACGACCAAACATTAACAGCAAATGCAAAAACATCTGGAGGCGACTGTAAGTGTTTTGCTTGACTTTGTAGATTATCTAGCATAGATAATTTTAAGAACATTGATTGGGGCGTAAATATGGTAATACTTTGTTTAAATAGGGGTAGCAAGTAATGGCGTGTAGTTTGAAATGTTCATTGTAGTATGCAGGGAAGATAATGAACTTACAATTTCCGTATTTGGTGTTGACGAATTCTTGATGTGTAAATATCTTAGCTCCCGGTATGGGTAAAATTTGCGTTAACCCAGCGGAAAATNTGCCTGCTCAGGACTATTTCAGGCTTATTTCAGGTATAGTTCGGGCTCAATTCGCGATCTGTTAAGGACAAATATATCACGGCCATTTAGCAGCTATTTCAGGAACATTTCGGTACTAGTTCTGAACCATTTTGGGCCGATTTTATGAATAGTTCTGAATCATTTGGGACTAGTTTTGAATTATCTTGAGAATAGTTCTGGTTCATTTCGGGACTAGTTGAATACTATTTCAGGAAACTTTCGAGACTAGTTCGAGGTTGTCAAAACCATATGCTTTGCCCTTGTTCAAAATAGTATCCACATAGTCACCTAAATGCGATGTGCTTCTAAATAAACGCTTTGAGACAAGACTTATTCAATAAGACCATCTCTTTAGAAGCTGCATTAGAAGATCTTCCATTCGAGACCATAAATCCAAGTCAAATAAAAGGAAAATCACAGTAAGTTAACTGTAATAAGGCTTTGACCTAACCGACTTCATTGCGGTTACATCAGGAGCGTAGTATGGTTTCTAGCTACGTTGTGGTAGTACGAGCAGTGCTCAACCACTACCGAGTGTCGTTATGTATCGTCTTCTTCATGGTCTCACTCGGCAACCCTGAAACCGAGGGACACAGTGACGTCGATTGGCACAGTCCATAATGCTTCCGCTGTCAGGGCCATCGGGTTGGAAGCAGATATTGGTTGCTGTGAGGACCTTGCCCGCATTCTGGACAAGTTTTTCCCACATTTGATATCAGCCGAAAAAGGTAGCTGTTAAGCCTGTGTCACCACCCATAGCGGTGTTGCGCTTGGCTGCATCTGGTCTCTCTCTCGGCAGTTCGGTTTCCTCAATATTGATGGGCGGCGGTCGGCGTCCGAAACAGATGTTGACCTTATGCGTTCTGAGGCTTTTGTGCTGACGCATTGCAATGCTCTGTATGCCGCTGCGTCCAATGTATAGTGTACGTACGTCTCTATATCAAGAGATTCAGCCGTGTAGGTGCCGTCTTCGAGTGTTGGGGGGACGTACAGTTTCGAAGCAGAACGTAGTTGCCGTGGTCCACATGGCGAGTTCAGATGAAGAATAGCTACAATAACAAGGTGCTGTGACCATTCACCGCCTACATCTGGCTTTCTTCGTGAAGGTGATGCTTGGACGACTTGAGATGGCAGTCTGTAGTCGTACGCACTTAGATCTGTGTTGCGGCAGGTATATAGATTTCTCCACAGCGCATAGCTAGCTAGCGACCAGCTGATCGCTTTGTACATTGTGAGAAAACTCTCTTTGCGCAATTTGAATACTTTGTTTACGACACGTATAAATTACGTACAAATGGCGATTCTACTCTTACTCAGATGGTTACCTTAATCGAGCCAGTCTCGCTATTTCCCATTCCTGGAATGTCTGGGATACAAATTATGTTTCAGAAAATTTAAAATTTTTGTGCCAAATCAGTATGCATGTATGTATATTAAAAGGTTTAAATTAATTTAGTTATTAATCAAATTAATTATGAATTTCAAACACTTGGCAACTCTGTCTAGAACCTCTTCAAAACTTTTTTCTAAACATAGCTGTCTTAAACCTTTCTCTTTTGATACTCATATAAAAATACGTAATTTACTTCGTTAATTAAATTGTTTTTAACTATTGGAACAGGTGGCAACACTTCCCGAAAATATTCTCGAAATAAAGCTTTGTAAATCTCCATCGTTTATACCCGGGTTAAAATATTTCATTTGAATTGTTAGTTAAATTGATTATAAATTCAGGTTGCCACCCTGCTCTAAAATATAAATAAGTAAACTCTTTTACTCTTTTCGATTTTCGACACCTACATACATATGTGTGCATGTATATCAACAGGTTTAAATTCATTAAATTGTGTCTTACTTTTGGAACAGGTGGCAACGCTTCCCGAAAATATTTTCGAAATAAAGCTTTTTGNTTTACTCTTTTCGATTTTCGACACCTACATACATATGTGTGCATGTATATTAACAGGTTTAAATTCATTAAATTGTGTCTTACTTTTGGAACAGGTGGCAACGCTTCCCGAAAATATTTTCGAAAAAAGCTTTTTAAATCTCCATCGCTTTATAGGCCGTCTTAAACTCTTCGATTCACACCCATATACGTACTATGTATGCATGTATATTAAAGGGTGTGATTTAATTTATTACCAACATTTATTTTGATTTTCTAAACAGGTGGCAACCGTCTTCAAAAATGTTTTCGAAATAGAGCTCTCTTAAGCTCCTTTCTTTTGACTTCGATATAAAAAATAATTATTTTAACTTAATAATTAAATTGATTTTAATTGTTGAAACAGTTGGCAACCCTTCCCGAAAATATTCCCCACATAAATTGTTTTTGAACCGCTTTTGACACCCACATTGATTTAAAATTTTATGGGACTTACAAATTAATTGATTTTAACTTTACAAAAAGGTGACAATTATCTTCAAAAAAATGGCTATATATTAATCTAGATAAAAATCTATGCGTGTGCCAAACTTCATCGAAATGCGTATAGCCCGTTTTAGCGTAAAATGGCAACAAACATAGCCACTATACAAACAAATTTCACCTCCTGTTCATAAGTTTGGAAGCAAAACGAAAAATGATATTTACAATCAATCAAGTTCGCTTAACTTGTGCCATCATTTCAAAGAGTTAAGAGTTTACCTTTCCTTTTTAAACTTATTTACAAGTTTACCTTTAATCGCTAACAATATATCAAATTTTTTAACCAAATGTGTGACTAAATGACTTGTTCATTTCGCTCTTCTTTCATAACAATGATACATACATATTTGCGAAATTTCCCAAAATAAATGCTGCGGTACTTTTTTTTAACCCATCTACGGTTAAACCGCTTTTGTGCAATTTGTCATACGCAAAGTGAAAATTTGAGGTTTCATATGATTAATAGCCGTTAAAAATGCAAAGTAGTAGCCGTGATTGCGCATCCATTCTCTGAGGCCTATCAAACTTAAATAAACAATACCAGCCACAACAAGTGCTGTGAAATGTATGTATGTATGTAAGCACTTAAGAAGCTGCTGAAATGTGCAATGCTAAAATGAGCGTGAATAAGGGGGCGGGCGTGTCTGTGTATGAGGAATCCCCGTGGTGGGTAAAAATAAATAAAAAGCACAAAACACAGTAAAAAATCGCCAACTTACAAGCGTAGAGCTACTACAAATGCCCATTAGACCGTATCACATTTTTCTTTTTGTTTGCCTTTTGAATTTTTTTTTCATATAATCGGCATTTACAGTCGGATTTAAAAGTATGTTACATCGATGTGCTTATCTCGAGAATACGCTTTCGCATGTTCCAAAGCTTATTAACCTTAACTAACCATTTCTGGTACTTATCCACCAGATCTCAGTTCTTATCGCCCTAGCGTACCACCCTAATGTCAGTAAATTAAATCTCACCAAAAATGATTCAACTAATTAAACTTTTACTAAAGAAGTATTTATGTATTAAAAAAAATTATTGTCGAATCTAAGTGTAATCGAAAAATGTAAAAAAGTCACCCCGCGGTTTGCTACAAAGTTTTTTTTATCGAATTTCCCTTGCAAAAATGCTGTAGACTCAGGGATGTTCGGCGTAATTTTTTGGTTCTATTTGCTTGTAAGGTGGTACGGTCTAATGTATGTACATATGCACATTAGGGTGGTCCCAAAAAATGTAAAATCAGAATTTTAATGCCGTCACACCATAGGATTGTTCTATACTGAAAAAATTATACCCCTACNTTGGTTCTATTTGCTTGTAAGGTGGTACGGTCTAATGTATGTACATATGCGCATTAGGGTGGTCCCAAAAAATGTTTTTATTTTGAGATCAGGAAATATTTAGAGGGCGCTCAAAGCACTCAAAGTTTTATGTGTATTTTATCTGGGAAAAAAACTTTTCGTACAAATGGAATAGAGTTCTTGAAAATCAATATTTTTCGATTGGACAGCTCTGGTTCTTTTCAGAAGACCTCCAATAATAACACCCAATTGTTTATTTAAGTATTATTTAATACTTTAGATTTTTATAGGTCTCCTTATTCCATTTGCGGACCTATAAAACATACTTACTATGAAAACATGGTTAAATAAACAATTGGGTATTATTATTGGTAATCTCTTGAAGAGAAACAGAGGTTTCCAATTGCAAAATATTGATTTTTCGGAATTTTATATGATTTCCGCGAAAAGTTGTTTTCTTCCCATATAAAATACATGGAAAACTTTCAGCGCTTTAAGCGACCTATAAATTTTTTGACGTAGAATACGTCTTACCTTAAGGTATGGGGGCTATGTTCAAATGTTGTAGTTGTAATTTTTAGAGCTTCACAAAAACGCTTATTGCACGAGAACTAATAAAGCGATTTCAAAGAAAAGTGTGGCGTTTCAAAGATAAAATTCCAAACCTGTCGACAGATTCATTTTTGTAAATAACCAATTCGGTTTCTGTCGTAAAAACAACGGTAAACATTGCCTTATTTTGGGGTCAATTTTGAGCCTTTAAAGTGCTCTAGCAACTTATTGTTGGCATATATAACTTTCATTTTCGGGATATAGGTTCTTTGGAGCAGTAGAAATATTATC